CCACGCTTAAATTATGTATATATATATATATAACCTGTCAGACCGACTTTCTTTAATCAATTTTCACAGTGTCTAAAAGTAACGACTAGTTTTTACGTATCTGAAAATCCCCCACGCTTAAATTATGTATATATATATATATAACCTGTCAGACCGACTTTCTTTAATCAGTTTTCACAGTGTCTAAAAGTAACGACTAGTTTTTACGTATCTGAAAATCCCCCACGCTTAAATTATATATATATATATAACCTGTCAGACCGACTTCCTTTAATCAGTTTTCACAGTGTCTAAAAGTAACGACTAGTTTTTACGTATCTGAAAATCCCCCACGCTTAAATTAATGTATATATATATATATAACCTGTCAGACCGACTTTCTTTAATCAATTTTCACAGTGTCTAAAAGTAACGACTAGTTTTTACGTATCTGAAAATCCCCCACGCTTGAAATATATATAGGATAAATAATTTACTTTTAAGAACCTTCAGATCTATTGAGTTTTCATTGATATCTTATTTTGTACCTCCATCAAACTTCATCGCTCACGAAACAGAAGTTTAACCAGTATTTTGAACTTATGCTTGCGATATAAGTTTGAAGTTTATTTATTGTTGTCAAGTTAATGGCATGGTACTGTTTGCTAAAACATCACCTGTTCTCGAACCTGGCCAGCTGGTTTTCTCAAGTACGACCTTGGGAAATGTGCTTCGATGGAAACAAATGTGTGCACTCATTGTGTTTATAGGAAATGTGCGAGACACATGAGACGAAAAAAAATAAAAAATACTAGAGAAACATATTGTATACTTTTGGGGTTAACTTTGAAATAAATTGTTTTGTAACTATGCCAGAAGAATTTATAACAATAAAGATGTTCTCTTGTTCTCAACTCTTATTATCCTGCCGGAGGTTTACTACGTGGGTCATATCACGAGTAGTGTCTCACATTGAACGGCCCGCCTTTCCCAGCACCTTCCGGAGCGTGACGCGCGTAACGGTACACGAGGAGGATTGCGCTCGTGGTGTCATCACTCAAACGCACTACCGCATTCCTGAGTCAGACGGGTCTATTATGGGTGGAGGGAGTAGAAGGCCGCTGAGGCTTGACAAGAATATTCTTATGGAGAACTGCGAAGGCTTGCTGCTAACAGTAATAGTTGCCTGTGGCAACAAGCCAGAACAGTACCATGTCGTATCAGGCTTGGTAGACTTGGAAAACTTGTTTTACCGGTGTTGAGGTCGGCTGGCCTCTTATTATTTCGTGAAGAGCACAGTTTTTCTCAGGGCTTTCGGTATACAGGTTACTGAGGCGACCTTTTTGCTCTACCATAACAGCCTTGCCTATATTCAAGCAGCTGTTACGTGTACTGTTAGTTATCTTTTATGGAAGAACATTGTATTTTATGGTTGCAAGAAATCAGTCCTTAGATTGAACACCGATTCGTCTGAATCGATAAGTGACTCCAAAAATTGCGTTTCCAGGATGCTTCAAATATTGCATCTCAGTATTCCCGTTGCTATTAGTTTTTTGGTGCTGAAATACTATATGAAAGCCGAGTAAAATATGACAACGCCGTTCACGTGCCCGATGATTGGCTTAGCTGTATATATATTTGTTTTGACATGAGTTTGAGCATGAATATTTGGACCAGCGATGAAAAATCAGATATAAAACACATAAAAAGTTCAGTAGGCATGTATTAACTCTCCAAATCGTAAAGAACAGAAAATTGTTGTTGTACATAAAAACGCATATGCCCAGCCTAAATAAGGGCAACACTGAATGGAGTGAAATGCGTGACACGAACCTTGTTTAAAAAAGCTGTTTGCAATCAGAAATAGCTGCAAACAATGCAGGAATAAAAGTATGTTGTTGAGAGTTTTTAGTGTTGTTACTAGTGTATCAAAAATAGCTACGAAGAATGCAGAAATAAAAGTACATTGTTGACAGTGTTTAACGTTGATACTAACGTATCAAAAATAGCTACGAACAATGCAGAATAAAAGTACATTGTTGACAGTGTTTAGTGTTGTTTAGTGTTTCAAATATAGCTACGAACAATGCAGAAATAAAAGTACATTGTTGACAGTTTTAGGTGTTTAGTGTTGTTACTAATGTTTCGAAAATAGCTACGAACAATGCAGAAATAAAAGTACATTGTTGATAGTGTTTAGTGTTGATACTAACGTATCAAAAATAGCTACGAACAATGCAGAAGTAATAGTACATTGTTGACAATGTTTAGTGTTGTTACTAACGTATCAAAAATAGCTACGAACAATGCAGAAGTAATAGTACATTGTTGACAATGTTTAGTGTTGTTACTAGTGTATCAAAAATAGCTACGAACAATGAAGAAATAAAAGTACATTGTTGACAGTTTTAGGTGTTTAGTGTTGTTACTAGTGTATCAGGAATAGCTACGAACAATGCAGAAATAAAAGTACATTGTTGACAGTTTTAGGTGTTTAGTGTTGTTACTAGTGTATCAGAAATAGCTACGAACAATGCAGTAATAAAAGTACATTTTTGACAGTTTTAAGTGTTTAGTAATGTTACTAAGAGATAAAAATAAAAGCAACGTGAATATGAATTCTTTTAAAACAGCTCATGATCTTCGATAACTGGACATCGTGATTTGGGTTTTCACATCTTAAAGATCTATATACCATAGATGCAACCACTGTTACCTAAAATGTACAGTTGTTTACTCTTTTTTTTTGCAAAAACGGTTTAATTTGATAAAATGCATTAACCAAAGGTAATTGCTATTGTATATAACACGCAAACGCGCGCACACACGGAAATGCCAGATCTGCATACATCCTAACTCGAGACGGACAGGCAGTTCACGTTAACTTTTATGCACCTCCTAATCGACGTATACTACCCAAAAGTATAAATTGGACTGCGCCTATTGGCTGTGGCTCGTAGAGAAGTATTGAGCTAGCAGAGCATGAGGCCATACGGAAGAGGGCTGACTGAGAGAACAGGTGGGAGAGGAGAACTCTTAAACACGTACCAAATATATCTGTAACCGTGCATTACAAGCCTCCCTTGTTGCACATTTTCAGTTCACCTGGTCTCTCTCTGTTTTTCCCGCTGTGAACGCTGCTGACTGTGGTGGCGGGAAATGGTGTATAGAATAAAAAGTGTGTATAAAAATACCCGTTTATTGTAGTGAATACAGGTTTAAAATACAACAAACAAAGTAAATATATACACAGCTTGAATTTCCAGGATTGTGTGCGCTAAAAATAATCGTTTATATTAGGCGCAATTGACGAAAAATCCCGAGGATAAAAGCCCTCATTTGCGTTTCGTTTGGTGTGATCTGTGCTTTTAAGCAGCGTACATGCACGGACCGATGTCGTGGAGTAGCTTTATCAAAGTAGAGGTTGCTCAACCCCAAACTTCGACTGGTTCAATTAAAGGTAGGTGTTACCGTACAATATAGGTGTGTGTGTGCGTATTTCATCTGTTTGTTGGTTTATTACATTCGTCCCAAAAATAACACAGGCCTGCGAATTTAAACTTCATAAAAGTTGTTTTGGTTTTAATAACATATTTTCCATAATTCAGCTACGCAGATTTCGAGAATAATATTCGTTTTTTTTAATCACGTAAAGATTTTTTACAAATCGGGAAGAAAATTAACATGTTTTATTATTACCTTTGTTAACAAAAATACAAACAAACTGAAGAAAAGGGAAAACATTGATGTCAAACGAATGTGTATCCTCGTTCATCCTGTATTTTTTTT